TCTTCTATTTTTACATGACTTTGTATTTACTTCAACTCATTTTTTATTTTTCTTTGCCTTAAAACCAAAAACAACACTTGCTCTGGTTTCTCCCAAAGAAAAGAGGCTCCTTACAACATATATAGGATAATGACCCCCACACTTCAACAAATGTTAGACTATAACCACAAGATTAAGCTAAGAGCTCCACATTAATTGTCAGTTGTTAACAAGGATGTACTAATAGACCTTTCTAACAAAACTCCAATCACTTCCTCAAACAACATAAAGTTATATAACAAAGCAAATAAGGCACTCAGTCTCCTTCCACACTATTGGCAGCAGTTGCAGCTAAAAACTGATCTATTTGATGAATGCTGTCATCAAAGTTTCCATTAACAAAACAATTCTAGATAAAAACTTAGGCTCAGAAAAAATCATAACTCTGGGGTTACCTTCTTCCTGTTGAAAATCAAATGCCTGCCGCTGCTTTGTGTTGCTCTACAATGATATCAGGAAGATGTCTATGATCTTCTCTTTGAGGGTCCATTTGATTCTACAGCTGCACACCACTTTGCTAACAGAGTGTTTCATATCAGATGAAATGAAAACAAAAATTTTAAGTTTTTGCACAAACCTGAGTCACTCCATAAATCCGCCTGAACAAGAAGCTCCACCTTTGGGTTGTACCAGAATGAGATCAAATTTCACCAGCCGAAACTTAAAGGCATACTCATCCTGGATTGCCTGAACATAAAGAACATCATAAACTTTAGATTGAAACTAGCTGATGATGTCTTGTATTAGCAGCTTTAGAAGCAGAAGCTGTTTAGTCACAAAACAGGTCAAAGGTAACACATCTGGAGATGTCGCCTTTACATTACTGTAACCATCCAACAGTTACTGGTTTCTGAAGACTGAGGGGATGGCCACAGTCTTACTCAGATTTTTTTCACTCTGGTTTGTCAGGAAATCCGAGAAGCAGTCTGTCTTTTTCCTCCCACACATATTGGGTGGAGAAAAGCAGCAGATGAACAAAGACAGTTATTCAAAATATACAAAAACACATAGATATTCACTTGCATATTGTCGTCTTTGACTCTGCAGCAATCCCTCACACAGAGCATATATTCAGCAACAATGGAGAGGAAAAACTCCCTTTCAACAGGAAGAAAAATCCAGCAGAACCAGGCTCAATGAATTAGACTTAGACAGATTTATTTTGTCAATTTGTATACACAAGTGTAAACAAATAATTTTCATTTATAACATACATAAAAAATAGTAATACAAATATATGACTGTATATTTACACTTTTTTTTCTTTTAAATAATCCATTTTACAAAACATTCAGCAGTCTAATGGCAGTGGGGAAGAAACTGTTATGGAATCTGCTGGACCTGCATCAGATGCTTCAAAGCCTCTTCCCAGAGGGCAGCAGGGAGAACAGTCCATGGTGGGGGTGTGAGGGGTCATTTATAATGTTACGGGCTCGGGACACACAGCGCTGGGATGAAATGTCTTTAATGGAGGGAAGAGTAGCCCTGATGATGACCTTCATTGCTGTTCTCACCACTCTCTTCACTTTCTTCCAGTCTGAGGCGCAGCAGCCTCCACACCGCACAGTGAGACAACTGGTTAGAACGCTCTCTATGGTGCTTCTGTAGAAGGTGGTGAGGATGGGTGTGAGCAGGTGGGCTCTCCTCATCCTCCGCAAGAAGTATATACGCTTCTGTGCCCTTTTGACCACTGAGGTGGTGTTTACATTCCAGGTGAGGTTGTCTGTGATGTGCACCCCGGAATTTGGTGCTGTTGACCACCTCTGCAGCTGAGCTGTTGATGACCAGGGGTGCGTGGCTAGGCTGGTTCTTCCTAAAGTCCAAGATGATCTCCTGACATCGGTCCAGCAAGATGGTAAAAATGTCTGTGAGGACACCAGTCAGCTGATCTGCACACTCCTTATACACCCGCTCAGGTATGTTATCAGGCCCTGGGGCCTTCCTTGGGTTGACTCTCCTCAGAGTTTTTTAACACAACAGCTACGTTCAGGTTTAGTGCCTCCTCCCCCTGGTGTGGAACAGCTTTCACTGCTGGAGTGCTGTTTAGTGCCTCAAACCTTCCAAAGAAGTTGTTCATTTCATTTAGGAAGTCAGTGTTTGCTGCATCTACTGGGGGGGAGGGTGTGTTGTATCCTCCTGGTGTTGCTGTCTTCATGGAAAATATCCTGAATTTTCTGGTTGTGGTTCTGCTCAATGCATTTGTTAATGTAGGTTGACACAGTCATGGCATTCTCATTAATAAGTTGAGATATGTTGTTGCAGCCTTGAAGATGTTCCAGTCAGAGCATTCAAAACAGTCTTGGAGTTTCTCCGCGGCGCCCTCAGACCACACTCGGAACTCTTTAACTGTTGGTTTAGCTCTGATCAGCTGGGGCTTATATGCAGGGATAAGCATGACCGAGAGATGATCTGATGACCCGAGGTGGGGGCGGGGGGCTGCTCTGAATGCATCTTTGATGTTAGATTAAACCAGGTCTAAAGTGTTTTCACCCCGAGTAGCAAAGTCCACATGTTGGTAGAAATGGGGGAGAGCAGTCTTCAAGTTAGCCTGGTTAAAATCCCCAGCAATGAGGAAATCACCCACTCTCTGTGCAGATTGGAGGTCAGAGATAGCCTGGTATAGAGTCTTTATGGCCTCTTTTGTATTAGTGCTGGGGGGCACATAAACAGCAGTGATGCTAATCACGCTGAACTCTCTGGGCAGATAGAAATATTAAAACTACTTTTTACCCACAGATCACAGCATATATAGCTGCCATTGTTACAGGCAAAGAAAAGATAGGGAAGCTCCGCTTAACGTGCATCAGACCCACTTTTCCACCGTGCAGCTAGAGCAGCAAAAATGCTTCAGCCGCGCGTCAGAACTAAACTTGTTCAAGCATCAAAAATGAAGCAGCACGCGTGTTTTACTGCTCCTGCTGCTTTAGGTGTGACCATAGAATTAGGCAACATAAATCAATGTGATTATGACAAATCAAGTCATTAACTAACAGTCTTCTTGAAGAAATATCTTTTTCCCCAATTTGAGTTATTTTTGCTAGATTATCATGATTTACTCCTTAGGGATTCTTTTCTTATTTATTAGATTTTGGTTGTGGGCAAGACACTGTCTGGATGGAGTAATGAGTGGGTAACAGTAGAGAAGCTGCAGAGAGGTGTGTTAATGTTAGGATCCCAGTTTGTGGGGCTTGTTTATGCTCTTTTGCAGTTTCACCATGCAACCACTAGAAGGTGCCATTGTCCTCTGCTGGTCTGGAGGTTGTTCCTGTTCTTCTCACCTCACACCTGCCTATTGGGTCATCGGTCCCTGAGGAGTATTTAAGGAGCAGACTGTCTTCACTTCCTCGCCAGAGTGTTTGCCAGTATTGGGATTATCCAGATCCTCTGGATAAGCTGGCCCTTCAAGTCTGGAAGGGAAACACTCGTCACACTGAGAAAACAAGACAGATCTCATCTGAACACTGAGCCCTTCAGGAACCAAGAGACAGTCTGCTAAGTTGCTCCTCAGGTAGTCTGCCTGTCCGCCCTCAAATGAACAAAGCCATCTACAGACCAAGCCTCCACAAACGGGATGTCATGAAACCTCCCCAACAACCACAGTGGCCCTGTTCGAACTCATGGGATGAGTTCTTAGAAGGCCAGATTCGAAGGACGATTACGTCATAGCGCGGCGCCGAGGTCTGGTCGGATTCCAAGACTCCTTGTTATACAGCCTTAAAATGCGTCCTTCTTTTAGTCTTATTTGAAGGACGGGTCCGATGTATCCTCGGTATCCTTGGTTTACCCAGGATTCATTGTGAGACCAAGCAAGCCGTGATCAGAGGAAAGGTTACTTGGTGCCGAACAGTGGTGAAAATTGAAAGTGCAGTTTAATATAATACAAGTCAGTGAATAGTTCCGTCTGAAATGAATGAAAATAGTTGTTTTAATGGTTATTGAGTCAGGTATGTGGCGGTAATGTTTGGTTTATCTAAAGGTTTTTATCTGTTACTGTGTAAATGAGTTTGGCTGTAATTAAATGACAGATTCTAATAGATCTGCAGGGTGGGGACTATAAATTTGATAGGATTTTTATCTTATTATTGCCGTTTTGCACAATATGCTTAACTAAGTATTTTTTGTTGTTGAATATTAGAGATTTTGCAGATATATTTTTTATACATACATTGTTTTGATTTACTTATATCTTTCTACCCCTTTTATAAAATAGAAAATCCCTTTATTGTCCCACAATGGGCAAATTTACAGCAGCAGAAAGATTATTGAAAATGGTCACACAAATGTGGACCTTAGAAAAATGTGTAAGAACAACGTAATAGTGAAGAGTTAAAATATAAACAATAAAATACTGTAGGGTGTTTTAACAATATAAAAATGTGCACCTGGATAATAAATAACCAATATGGAGCTATGAACATTTTTACAGTAATGGATATTTTAAAATGGCAGCAACATCAGAGATGTTCAAAATGACAGCAGCATGTTATTTAACTGACTAAGGTTTCTATCATTACTGGTACATTTGATTTTATTTGTTCCTGCTCCCGGTGGGTTGAACCTTTATTCCACTCTGGATTCTTGTGAGCGTAGTCTTTGTTCACTTTACAATAAAAAAGAAAGAAATAAACAAGTTTTGAAAACTTCAGTATTCATTCTTTTCCTGCTTTCTGTGTCAACTGTCACAGTTGCTAAGCAACATTGCCTATGGCGGTAAAACCTGGGTAGGGGTAAGGGTAGACCTGTTTGAATTCGCAGCCAAAACCCTTTTGGTCTCCTTATTTTCACGGACTTCGAAGGATTTGTAGCTGTGTCTGTGTTTTCTAAGCAAAAGAACATTAAGAAGATGTTCATCTCCTTGGTTCATCAGAACACGACAGGTAAATCTCTTCCTTAGCTTCATGGATGAAGAACAACAGAACATTTCAGTTAAAAACATTCTAGTTTTATTTAAAACTGGCGCCCTGAGTTTTCATGCTGCCTTCACTGACTGTGGGAATCTTCATCATTACAGTTAGAATCAACATTCTTACTTCCTGTTTCTGTTCTCCCAGCTGATTGGCTGTTTCTTTCCAGACTTAGTCCAATAAGAAACTCAGAGTCTCCCACAGGAAATAAACGCAGCATCATAGTATTCAAAGAGATACAAACAGAGATGCCCCTTACAGGTAGGGGTTGGGGGGGGCTTAGCTAAGGACTTTGTGGTAAGGGAGGAGGGGGAGGGACGAGGTGAATGCTCTGATGTCGGTGATGAGTGAAGCCTCCTGCAGCGCCGGTGCCAGAACCGGCAGGAAGGTCAGCTCGCTCACTGGACCATAGGCTGAGGAGGCGAGGTCACCAGGCTTCTGGTCCTCCAGGTCGTTCTCCTCCACCCCAAAACCCACCACCTGATGGAGACAGAGAGCAAGGATGACGTCACATCTGTCACACACAAATGTTCCCCTTCAGGATAAATCACCAGAACAAAGAGTCAACAAAAAAATCAAGCGAGGAAGCTGCTGGATAAAGAGCCAAGAACTGACCCAGGGTATGCTGGGAATTATTAATGATTACTTGCCTCCAGGGCCAATCAGAACATTCAACGGTTTCTGATTAAATGAGTGGATAAAAAGCATAAGATGGTGCAGAAAATGTCATCATCAGTAAAGTTTATTATGTTTATCATCATCAATCATCGTTGAATATCGATGCGAAGTTTCTCCAGGAACCAGAGGGTCGGCCCAGTTGGATCTGTTCTCATCGCCTCTACTGGTCTTGGACAGCAGGACACTGAGGAGCTGAATGGGTACCATACAGCTGCTGACCCCACCGGTACCAGCAGAACTATCAGGACCCAGAACGTGTTTAATTTACAGGGGTCTCTATCAGAATCAGAAACAGCCATTCGGACCTTTTTAGAAAACAAGCAACGGATTCAATTGGTTTTAATTTGGTTTTCCTTAAAGTGAAAAGACACTCAAACGGGGGTGACAGTGGCTTCGGGTGCAGGAGTTTGCCTTTGCCAAGACACTTCACCCGCATTGCCTACTGATGGTGGTCAGAGGGCCCGGTGGCACCAGTGTACGGCAGCCTCACTTCTGTCAGTGAGCCCCAGGGCAGCCGTGGCTACAATGTAGCTTGCCACCATCAGTGTGTGAGTGTATGAGTGAATGGCTGAATGTAGTGTTAAGCGCTTTGGTCAAGTCTCCTAACTTGAAAAAGCGCAGGCCATTTACCATTTACCAAACTGGGAAGGGGATTAAAAGCTATTTGCATGTATATATTTACATACATGTTAAAACAGCAAACATCCATATTTGTGCCCAGCAGAGTGTCTCTCTTCACATGCTGTGAGACGTCCACCTGAGCTATGAATATGTCTCTGTGGTGGCTGGTTTTAGTAGATGCTGCTCTATAGCAGGAGTTACAACGGATTCACAACTGGATTCACTCTGCTTTGGTTTCAGTCCTTAGTATTTTGACCCGCTGTGAGGCCTGCTCAACATATTGTTAGATGGTGGATTAAAAGACGGAGATCAATGAAAGTCAGGACAAAATAATCTAAAATAATCTAATCAGGAGTTTAGCTCTACAGTCGCTGAGCGCAAGCCGAGAAAGGAGAGGACCTTTAAGCTTTGCTTAATTTGGAGCATGTGGTCCAGATGGTTAACCTGGACAGCATAGATCTATCAACAGACGTTTTTTGAACGAGAGGAACTGCCACATATGACTTCTTGTCTAATACACAGTAGTCCCATTTTATTATATGTTAAAGTGCAGATTTATTACATAGTGCTGTGGTACAGAGGTCTATGTGCTGTGTAGGTACCAGATCTGCACGGGTCCTGCACATGCCAGTGATGTTACACTATATGATTGGCTGAACCTTACCACATGATGTAAAACACTGTGGTTGCCCTGACAATGAACGAAGCGTCCGTTTACCAAGTCGGGAGCATCTGTAGTGTTAACGTGTTTAATGACTGATGAAGATTTACCTGATCGATAACAAAAAAGAAAAAAATCTGTTTGTGGTGGACAAAGTAATTAAAAGACTATATTATAAAGGGGGGGAGCTGGGTAGCGATGTGGCTGGCTGTGTTCAGGTTAGCCTCTTTTAGCTTGGTCATTTAGCCATATAAGTAGCTATATAAGCTACTCTACCTTTAAATTTGTGTGAACAACAACCGTTCTTTTACTACAAGTAGAATAACTGTTTTATTTGTTTAAAATCTCTACAAAAGTAATTTTTAAGATGTTCCATTTGTTCTCCCTGCCCTCAGATCATAATAAAAGAATAAAAATAAATGGCAGAGCTCACTCTTAGAATGTAGTACTTTCCTTCAAGACTGACGATTTTTTTTCTACTTTGCCTACGTTAGATCACCAATGAAATGTAAAATAATAGCAAATATAGGTAATAATATGTTGAGACTCCAAAAGAGATCTGATCCTTCAGAAACGGGTGCAATGCAGTTTGTCCAAGTGGAGTTGACATATCTTGACGTCATAAGAAGTGGCAGGGCCCCGAGCAGATCTGGTACCTACACCGGATGTTGCATTTCCTCAAACTAGATTGGCTCCAGACTCCATCTTCAGTGGCTGAGAAATAGAGGATCAGATGTTGGAGGATGGCGGTACTGCAGAGTTCACAGGGGTAAACGGTTCATGCCCAGGATGTGTGGGGTCTGCAGCAGTGATAAGACTGATTCATCAGCCCGCACATATTTTTGGCCATTATTGTTTCTAGTATTGCCTTATGTATGCATGTGTCTGAAGATTAATCAGCGCATTCAGCAGCAAAGTCTATAGATAATGTAAGACGCCTGCACTGCGCTCCCTCCACCTGTCAGCCATTGTTAATGCTCATTTTGATTTTTTTTATAAATGTTTGTTTTTTTGTTTAAACAGTAATGTGTTACAATTTTTTGTAACAATTTTGTTATAATTTTTATCATTTAAATGGAGGAAGAAAAAGCGAAATTAGCTTTAAGAATCAGCCCCAAACACACTGGCAGTAGTTGAATCATCAGTTTAACAGGTGTCAAAATAATCGGCATCAGAATTGGCCGCATCAGTCAGTGGCTTAGTTCCAGTTAATGCTGGTTCTTCTGTTCCGGTCCAGTTCCTGTGACTTTCTGGTCAGAACCACCATCAGCGACCATCAGAACTCCAGAACCAGACAGAAATCAACGTGAGGAACCCTGACAGATCTGTGCTCTTCTGACTCTACAGATTCCCTCTGCTGTAGAACCTCTCCAGAATCGGTCCGAGTTTCTCTGGTTCAATAGACTGTATCCATTTAGATCCTAAAGCTCTAACAGCTCTCTATCTACTTGTTGTTACTAATCTAGCTGATTAGGAACAACACACAGAACCAGAACCTCAACCTCCTGAGGCCTGTACTCACATGCACACTGAGCTTCCTGGCGGTGCCGCCACGGTGCTGCCAGAACCAGGAGATAAGCTCCTCCCGAGTGAAGACTTTCAGAGCTTCGATCTGCAACAAGCAAACCAGCAGGTCAGGCAGAACTGGGCCTGATGTCACTAGACGTCTAACTAAAACCAGCAGCACCTGTTCCTTACCTCCTTGTTAAGTCTGTCGAAGACATACTGCTGGGTCACAACCTCGAACCAGTTGCGGTCCACCTCCTCGCCAAGGTGGGCGTCCTCACATTCCTTCAGCTTGATCAGCGCCGTTACCTGGGCCTGGAACGTCTCCTCGCTCACAGACGACAGACGCTCGCCAAAAAGCAGCAGGAACTCCTCCACCTTCTGCTCCACCAGCTCCGAGCTGAGACAGGAAGTGACATCACAGTCAAACACAGGAAGTCTGAGCAGATGGGTCGGTAAGCAGACACCTGCTCACCTGAACTTGGTTGCCTGGGTTTCTACGGTAACGGAGAACCCCAGAACCCCTGAAGTGTTCCTGCAGGTTGGATACACCTGGTACCTGCAGCGGAACAGAGAAGGATGAACAGACAACCTGGAACAGAACCATCAGATCCAGGACCTTCCTGGTTCTGGTCTGCTCTGAAAGCTGATGTTACTGAATGACTGGTGTTCCAGATGAAAAGCAGAAAACCCAAACAGTTTGACACAGTTCTGGGAACNTGAATGTTTTCCTGAACTTGGCTGTTGGGAACTTAATAGAAAATTTCTCAGCAGTTCTGAGGAACCTGAAAGCCTCTTTACTGTAAATGTTAACATGACTGGATGCAGTTCTAACAGAGGCAAGTGGGGGCAGCAGGAACTGGATTGTTTCCCTCTCTAAAATAACCAGAATCTTATGGATGAGCTGCAGGAAAATTGATCTCTGTGTGGTAAAGAGGTCTGTTCATGAGCTCCAAATGAGTTCTGATGTGTAGAACCTTTGAAGACTACTTTGCAGCGACCTGCTCAGAACTGTGAGGTAGGCGACAGGTGGACCTTGTCGCTGTTAGGGACCTTAATATCAGAACCACAGGCAACACAACCCTCAGGCTATCTCACCCCAGCGTCTCCTTGGTCCTCAGGAAGTCGAAGCAGGGCTCCTCCATGTGCATCTAGGAGCACAAACACAGATCTTCTCACAGTGATGTTCTGCAGCAGCTCAGAAGGTTCTGGAGAACACTTACCACCATCAGCTCCATCAGAGCGTGCTCCCTGAGCGTCTTCAGGCCAGACTGAAAAACAGAAACCAACAGAAACAACCTGAGCCCCTGGTTCCTGATCCAGATGATGTCCAGAACTTAATGAGGATGCAGCAGTGATGATGGATGTAACCCGGTTCCTTATGGAACAGAACCTGGGGTAAAATTGCCTCAGCAAAACTCTGCCTCACTGATGTTGAACATTCATCTGACATGTTTCTATGGAAACTAAACTGACAAAAATGAACCAGAGGAAGCAGAACTGAACATCTGAAATCATTACCGCCATTATAAGTTCTGTGGTCCTGAATCTCATGTTTCCCATTAGAAAGCTCAGCTAGGTCTGGTTCTGGCTCACCTGGTAGTACACAGTGACCTCAGAGTTAGCATCTCCTTTGTTCAGAGACTTGACTTTACATAGATGGTGTTTGGGAGGCAGCTCCACCACCTGGAAGAGAACAGGGACCTCTACAGGCGGAGGGCGGAACTGCAGCTTCCTGGGCATTTAAAACAGAACACGGGTTAGAAAGGACAGAACACGGGTCGGAACCAACAAAACACGGGTCAGAAACAACAGAACATGGATTACAACCAACAAAACACGGGTTGAAAACAACAAAACACGGGTCAGAAACAATTGAACTTGGATTGGAAACAAGAGAACACGGGTTAGAAACAACAAAACACGGGTTAGAAACAACAAAACATGGGTTAGAACCAGCAGAACACGGGATAGAAACAACAAAACATGGGTTAGAACCAGCAGAACACGGGATANGGATAGAAACAACAAAACATGGGTTAGAACCAGCAGAACACGGGTTAGAAACAACAAAACATGGGTTAGAACCAGCAGAACACGGGATAGAAACAACAAAACATGGGTTAGAACCAGCAGAACACGGGATAGAAACAACAAAACATGGGTTAGAAACAACAAAACACGGGATAAAAACAACAAAACACGGGTTAGAAACAACAAAACACGGGTTAGAAACAACAAAACATGGGTTAGAACCAGCAGAACACGGGATAAAAACAACAAAACATGGGTTAGAAATAACAAAACGTGGGTTAGAACCAGCAGAACACAAGTGAGAAGTGACAGAACCAATCAGCAAACAGCCTCTTGGTTGGTGTTTGTCCCGTTTAAAGGAAGCAGCTGGTTCTTCTAGGGGGTAAATGTTGGTCTCAGAATGAATGGAAACTCACTCAGTGAGGATCTGCAGGAACTCGATGGACTCCTGTGGAGGAGAAGTCAGCACATTACTGAGGTTCTGCAGAACCACAGCCTCACTGGGTCATTCATTCAGCACGATAACTCGCTTTGTGTGTGTGTGAGTGTGTTTGTACTTGCAGCTGAGTGAGGACATTATGTTTGGATTTTACCAGTAATTCGGTGAATTTGTGTTTGGGTTCTGGTTATAAATAAGGTTCTAAGCTAGAAATTAAAAACACAGATGTGTTAGAGGAGGTGTTCCTCACAGCGCTGGTGAAGTTCCCCTGGACGAGCCCCTCGGCGTAGAGCTCAGCTTTCAGCGCCGTAGCAAACGCAATCAGCTGCTGGATGTTCAGACCTTGGGTGAGGGCCTGGTACTTCTGCATGACCGACCAGCGGTGGTGTTCCAGGATCAGCAGCCTAACGTCCCTGTATGGGTGAAAGGCCTTGTTATGGAAAACAGCCGGAGCTCTGCAGCTCCCCCTGCTGGTCCCTCCAGGTCTGACTTTGCCTACCTTCCCAGCCTGTCGTGCTTGATAAGGATGTTGAAGTAAGTTTTCTTCAGTTGCTCTGAGAACATGTAGAAGACGCTGGGCTCGGTGCTGAAGTCCGCCAGCTGATCAACGATCAGTTTCAGCAGCAACTGGGAGGAACAACAAAGGAACATGGAGGAGGAGTTACTGCATTAATAAGAAACAGGACAGGTTCCAGCAGAACATGTTCTACTGCCGACCCTTAAGAACCACAGAACACTCCGAGCATGCAGACCCCGCTGCAGACGCCTCCTCACCGGAAGCTTGTGGTTGAAACCCTTCAGCCGGATCATCAGCCCATGCTCTCCAGCCATGAGCTTGTACTCCAGCTGGGCCACGTCAGCCTCGTAGGCCGGCTCAGCCAAGTTGTGGGCCAAAATGTTGATGAAGAGGTCGAACAGAACCAGGCTAGGAGAAGAAGAGGAGGACATGGTCACCAGCAGGCCTTTACTCGTCTGTTTCTGACCAGCTTATCTTTGGACCTGGACCTCATCATCTGTAGGGCTTGAAAGAGAACGGGTCTGGTTCTGGTTCGGAACCTAATCGAGTGACCTCAGCATTCCTCACCAGCTGAGTGGAGTTAATCCACATCAACTGGATCAACCTCACTCTGAGCTGCTAACAGAACCTTGATGAGGGAAGTTCTTACTTTTCAGGACTCTCCTGGATGATGGGGGAGATGAGGTGGAAGCGAATGTAGCCTGAAACACAGAGACGTGACAGAAGTTGAGAAACTGAGCCTGATGTTCCTGCAGCAACATCTTCCGTCATCAGACCCAACCAGAACAGTTTTTCACCACATTATCTCTGGTCTGTCTGAACCACTTTGAAGAACATAATTTATAAACCCTGCATCGGATCCATATTAATCACTTTATGATTTTAGCTGCTAGTCAGGCAGTAAATACACCAGAAGCGACATACATACGAACAGCTTTCCGTTTTAAACTGTTAATTACACTGGAATTAGAATACCTGCGTGTGTATGCAATGCTGTTCCTAGTTAAGGTCAAGTTTCTAATTTCAGACGTGTATACGCTCCTGCTTAGGCGAGCAAAAAACATCCAATGTCAAAGTTCAGCTGGCAAACATGTCATCAGCCAGCAGAAGGAAGGCCGAGGTGTTTTTTTCCTTGGTGATCTTCTAAACAAATAAGATGCAAAAACTAAACGTATTAGAGTGACTAGATGTCCAGCTTTTACGCAGGACATTTCTGCATATATTTTACCTCTGACCTGCCGCCCCACAAACGGAGGTGTGCTGCATTGGACTGGGTCATATTATTTTAAAAAAAGCAAGATCTGTTGACAGGTGTACTAAATGCAATGTCCCAGTGTCCTGCATCATGACCAAACTGCAGAGAATGCTCTTAAAGCTAAACAGGTAAAGATTTTAATACGAAATATGCTAGAAACTATGATTAAAAAAAAAAAAAAAAATCAGGTTTATTCCTGGGTAAGACCAGTTTGCCGTTTTTAAATCAAGCACAAGGGGAGATCTGGTCTCCCTATAACGTCTCCATTTATCACTGGTTTAAATGACTTAGCTACACAGTAAAAGTTCCTCTCTGTTCAGAAACCTGTGGCTGTGGAACCTTCTTTGCAGTATCTGCGGTACCAATCATGTCACATGGCGGTATCAGATAAAGTGGATCCATCTTAACGTTTAGTATGAAGAGAAACGGAATGTTTGAGGAGTTATGATGATGTCAGAGTCGATCTAAGGAACCACACATTTTTTTAGCATCTGAGGAAAGTCTGCCTATAGCGTCATACGGAGAACGTGGTTCTCACCTTTAGGGATCTTGAACTTGTTGTCCTTCTTGTACCACAGAGCTCCTTGGTCCAGGTTCAGGATCCGGACCGGGAACTCGGTGTCCGGAAAGTCGGACGTCTTCAGACTGAAATCCGTGGCTGCAGGAAAGAGACCAACACGTCAGACTTTCCCGGTTCTAGACGGACCTGCTGAGTTCTCTATTCAACTGCTGCAGGAGTGGATTTAACTCCAGAACTCCTGAAACTACGGCAGCACCAGACAGCGATCCGGTTCCTGCTCTTCAGCTTCAGAAGAACCCAGATCAAACAGCTCCAGAACTTTGGATGGTATCAGGTCAGCTTAGGTCCAACTGACCAATGAAGCGGTTCTCTGCTGGAAGATGAAGGTCTGGGTTCAGGTCCAAATCTGCCTTCCAGCGCTGCTCCCACTCCTCTGGGATATCTGCGACACACAAGAACCACACCATCAGCATCAGCTCCGGTTCCAGTCCGGTTCTGAAGGACAGCAAACCGGTTCGTACCCTCGCAGCTGTAGCTGGTACCGAACCACCTCTCCCTGAGCGGACAGCGGCCTTCGTTCTCTGGAGACAGCACCAGCAGGTTGGCTCTGAGCGGCGTCAGCAGGGAAAGGGCAGCCTGGATCACCTGAACACAAGAACCGGGTCAGAACCCCTCTCAGAAAGCCCATCAGACTGCAGCAGTGGATCTCAGAACCTCTGGGTCGTAGTGGAACATGAGTCGGTCTCCGGTCAGGAAGTCCTGGTTGGGGAACAGCTGCATGTTCTCACAGATGTTCTCCACAAACTCAATGGGATCCGTCTGCAGAACAGAACAGAAACTCAAACTGGACCCCTTCAAGTTTCTCGTCTCAAATGGGTTTCAGAGTTCTACAGAACCAGAGTTCTACAGAACCAGAGTCTATGACTCCTTATGGTGGAGGTTCTGTACCTGCTCCAGGTAGCGGAACTCATTGTCTTCAATCTGCTGAATCTCCTCGTAGATTCTGGAACCAGAGGGGAGAGTTAGAACAACCAGAACCTTCAGAACACGCCTCCTGGTACCAAACAAACCTCTGCTGGGGTCCCTGAGTCTGCAGCATCTTCAGGTACTGGAACACCAAGTGGACCACCTGCAAACAGAACATCAACACGGTCAGGCGTTCAGCCCAGATTTTCTGGATCGGCCGTCTCCGGATCCCGACCTGGTAGAAGTTCTGGTAGCCCTGGTCTGTGAGGGTAATGGAGACTGAGAAGATGGAGTAGGTGGAGTTCTGATCGAAGCCCGTCTCACTGTTTCCTCCGAACAGCGCCAGAGCCCAGCACCTGGAAGCAGACATAGTGAGTGGCAGCTGCGAAACCGGTCCGGTCCGGTCACAGAGAACTCACTTCTTCCGGAGCAGAGACAGGATGCTGCCGGGCCCCTCATGTCCAATCAGCCAGGAGATGTAATGAAGAGGCTTCACTCTGAGGGACACAGAGGGTACCTGTGGCTTTAGAGGTGGATCAGGAGGCCAGAACCGGTCTAGAACTTCTAACCGGGGGTTAAAAGCTGCCGTTGGTTCCGACTCACCTGTAGTGTTTCCCCTGCGGCGGTACGGCCCAGCTGATGGTCAGAGCGTGGACCTTCCTCACAGGAACCACTGCAAGAGGGTCACATCATCAGCTGAACAACCGACACAACCAGCAACCAAAAGGGAAAACGCTGATCAGAACCAACCTCTGTAGAGCTTGTGGAAGGCCGGCGTGTCAAACGGCTCCTGCAGGTGGGAGAAGTCGGGTCGGGGTTCGCCGCTGCAGAAAGAACGTCCACAATAAAGGTGAGGAAGTCTCCTCTGATTGGTCCTTTTGATGTTAAACAGCAGGCTGATCAGCTGCCAATCACATTGAGCGAAGGGCGGGCTTTGGTTCTGGGTTTGTTACACTTTCATTAACCATCACTTACGTGACAGCTTTCCCTTTTAATCAGCAGCAGCTTCTCCTTCATAGAAAATGCTTTTTATTGTGAGTTAGAAAAAAACCTGATATTTCTTAACAAATAAGTCCTCCATGATTCTAAAGGATTATTTCCTCGTCGATCTGCCAGTAGGTGGCGCTGACAGGCTTGGAATAAGCAGGATATAGAGCTTTAAACACAGAGGGGTGTTTGTGTTTCTCACTTGTTTGGTATCTTGATGAAAATCTCCCTCACCCACTCCTCCAGGGTTTCCAGCGACTCTAGAAAAGACAGTCAGCAGGTTGTCACAGCAACAAAAATATCAAAAACCTGATGTCATATTTTACGGTGCAGCCTTTTGATTTACTGAAACCCATCAGAACCTCGATGACACCAGAACCAGGGCCCAATGTTTGATAGTGATGTCAGGTGAAATGCGAGGTCTGTTCCAGATGTAGGAGGTTCTGATGGTACCTCTTGACTGGACGGCCAGTGTCATGTAATGAGCAGAGTAATATCTCCTCCAGAACCCTCGCAGCCTCTCGTAGGTGTTGATCTGCTTCTCTCTGGGCTCGTGTTTTAATGTCTGGGCGTTACCTAAGGAGAGACACATCAGAGGACTGGTCAGCGGACATTGGGTCAGAGGACGGGTCAGCTCGCAGTCCAGGCAGCAGATCCAATCCAACAAACTAAACCATCGAAAGCAGAAACTAACTAGACCTGGATCAGATGGAAACTCGTCTTGCTGGGTTATTTTAGAACCAGTTCCTGTTAAAACATAACTGGGAGCCTATAGAGGAGTTCTGCCTCCTCTGACTCTGGACTGAGTCTTTATTATTAATAAGGTCAATAAGTTCTGCAGAACAAACTCGACCAAAAGCAGCACTGCAAAAAAATGAAATCCAAGTAGGTCAATTTTTCTTAAAATGAGTGCATTTTTTTCTTGAATTCAGCAGGTAAGTGAGAAACTTTGCCAATGGAACAAGAAAGTTTACATTTAAAATAAGAAAAACACAACTGCAGCCTCTTATTTATAATTATCTATTTATCTTATTTTAAGGGTATAAGTGCTCATCCCATTGGCAGATCATCTTACTTTCCTACTTAAATTAAGGCTAAATAAACTTATTTTAAGATATTTTTGACTCACTTTCTTAACATTTTTGTAGTTAGACCATACTGCAAAAAATGTAAATCTAAGTAAGTATGTTTTTCTTAAAATAAGTGGGTTTTTTTCTTGAATTAAGCAGGTAAGTGAGACACTTTGCCAATGGAATAAGACAATTTATATTTAAAATAAGAAAAGCACAACTGCAGTCTCTTATTCTGAATATATAATTATCTTATTTTAAGGGTAAAAATACTAATTCCATTGGCAGATTATCTTATTTTCCTACTCCACTTAAGGGTAAATACAATAATTAATTGATTTTTTATTACTCATTTTCAGAACATTTTTGCAGTGCACTCACCCCAGCAGAACTTTCCCATGGGATGTCCCGGTTTGGCCAGGCTTCCAAACAGCATCTCCTTACGGTGGGAGTCAGAGGGTCGGGCTAACTGATACTCTGAGGAAGGAACAGAACCAGAGATGAAGCTGAGTAGAACTCCTCTGAAGTCTGGAAGGAGATGGTGACGGGGTGAAAGGTCAGACTCACCGCTGTCCACGGCCTCCACTTCTCGGTCCACGGCGTCCTCGATCATCAGAGGACAGATGAAAAACTGGGCCCATCTGAACACAGGTACTCTATCAGAACACTGCTGGCTCAGCCGGGGCCCAGGGGGTCCGGTAGGTTCTGAAGGAGGGGCTCACCTGTCCAGGGCATCCCTAAAATACTTCCTCTGCACATCGAACTGGAAGATGGTCCTCTCGCAGTCGGTAGAAGCGTTGTCGCTGCCTCCGTGCTTCTTCAGGAAAGCGTCAAAGTCGTTCTCTGCCGGGTACTTCTCACTGCCCATGAAGACCACTGAGAAAAAGAAGAGAAACCCAGAGAGGAACCCAAGTGGAACAGAAACCATGCTCAACATAAAACTGCTAGCATAAATGTTGAGTGAAAGCGTGTAGCAACTACAGAGACTTTTAAAATCCATATTGACAATATAAAAAGAAAAAAAAAACTAAAACTGACACGATAAAAAGACACATGATTCTTTCTGCTAATGTTGGAAAAGAGAAAAACTTTGAAGTGTCTCCTTTTCCATTAAATAGGAAATGCATAAAGGTTTGGATCAAAGCCGGAAAACAAGTTTTTCCAAAAGAAAAAAAATGGAATATGGATTTGGATTAGATCGGATAATCCAATCCCGGTTCTGATCCAGATCAAACCTTGAGTTTAGGTTTTCTCTTAATTTCACAGCAGAATCAGAATCACTTTGATCTAGAAAAAATTTATTAAACTGAACCCATGAGGATGAACTGAAATACAATCAAACTGTAACATTTGACCAAAAACACTTAAGTTGGATCATGTAGCACAGCCTACTTTAAACCTTATTTATGCTTCAGGTTTTGTTTTCATTTATTCAACATTGGTATAAGGTTTAGCTTTTCAATTAAGGTCTACGTCCAAGATCCAAGTATACCTCTGTGACATAAAATACGGCCCAATTTCAATCAGATGTAAATTTACAACAAAGCAGAATGCAGAGCTCAATACTGACATCTACTGGTTGATGTGTCACACAGCAATTGTACGGATGCCGATAATCTGGATCAGATCGATCCAATACCACACCGCTTTGATGAACCAGCTAGAAACTGAGATAGATTAAGTGATCCTGAATCTCAAAAGAAAGAATTAGCAAATCTGTATCAACTTCCTCTGGAAAAACAGAGTTCAGGATCAGAATGCTGCGTATTGAGCAGCTGGTCATAATGTTCTTCCTGGCTCAGGCAGTATCTAAACAGGTCTTGATCAGGAAACTCACTGTGCTCCAGGAAGTGGGCGAGGCCTGGGAGGTCGTCTGGGTCGCTGAAGCTCCCAACGCTGATGCAGAGCGCCGCCGCCGCCTGCAGACACAGACCCCGCCCCAAAAGCTGAGGACTTCTTCACCAGAACACAAAGAACTTCCTCCCTCATACAACCTTTATCTTCTGACTCACCTGCTTCTCTGAGCTCTTCTTCTTTGTGGCCTTTTCTTTGCCCAGTTCATCTGAATCTCTGTCCTCCTCCTCCTCCTCCTCCTCCTCCTCCTGTTCAGAGCCCTCACAAGAGCCTCCTTCCTCCTCTCCTTCCTCACCCTCCACCTCCCCAGCCCCGCCCTGCTCAGTCGGATCGGTGCCGCTGAGGTCAGAGATGAGCAGAGCCCGGAGTCCGTTGCTGAGCTCGATGTATCTACAGAGTGATCAGATGATAAAGATCCCTGTTCAGCTTTATCCTTTGACATGTGGGAATAATAATCCAAACTCTTCCTGAACCCGAAATGAACCTCTGAGGAGAACCATCCACCCAAAGGTCCCTTTAACCCACAGACCCACCTGTACTTCTTGGGGTCACTGGGGGATTTGATGATCTCCAGGTCTCCCCGCTCCTCTGGGTCCACGCCCTCTTCTCCAGCAGCCGGCCTCATATCCGGCGGCGGGGGCTCTCCCTGCTCCGGAACGGCTAACTGACTTGGAGCGCCGCCGCCGCTCACAGACTTGTTGGATTGAGGCATTTCAGCAGACTTCTAAGGGATGAACCTGGACCTGCACAAGTTTGACATGGAGTTCAAACTTCTGGATGATCTGCAGCGATTTCCAAATTCATGACAAAAAACAAACAAAACAAATCTTCTTAAGGCAACACTGTAACATTTGACCCAAGTTTCAGCCAAATTTGAGATAAATAACCTTTCAGGTCAATATTCCGCTCTTGGTGCGTATCGATGCTCCCTGCTTTCCTCCAACAGAGGGCCAGAGCTAGGGCTGAAACAGTTAATCAGACTAATTAATTATTGAAATAATCGTTAACTAATTTAGGAATCAATTAATTATTAGCTGGAGTGTAGAGACTCTAAAACATGCCTTTGCCTGACAGACCGACCGACTTAGAGCAGTATTTATACCAAAATTGAAAAAAAAAAAAAAAATATGTAAACATTTTGCATTTAAGATACGAAAACAAAAAAAAAACTTTTTCCTCTGTGAATATATTCAATCCAGTACTCCTCAATTTGAATCATTTCAGTTTCACCTGGTTTAATTTTGTAAAAAATCTTTTTTAAAGAACCATTGGCTACTGTATCTGAACCATCAATTAATCGAAAAAATAATAAACAGATCAATCGATTTGCACAATTATCGGCAGTTGCAACCCTATTGGCATCCATACAAAACATGTACACGCCCCAAAATAGCAACAAAAAAAAATAAAAATCTGATTTATGAAACCAAGCAATTTTCTTTCAGATCAGATTAACAAGGACGCTCAGGGGCCGTTATACGACGCAGGTTTAACAAACTTAGATTCAGATCTGCAACTCCAAAATGACCTAGCCTAAAGTCGGAAACTCTGACTTTTCGGTTTTACAATGGCTGCTATGAATTGGTTCAATCTACTCTAAATAGGTCCAACCAGAGTTAATCCTGTCTGTGACAAGTTTAAAAAGCCATCATCTCTTTTGTTCCATTTGTAGATCACTAAAATCACACTTCTAGACTGAACTATAATATATTTTCTAAATTACAGTTTGCAGCAGAGAATTTCATAAAATAAAATGAACAAAATTATACTAGTAAGAATTACATTTCATATGCCTAGAAATGTTTTCACATTTTAAGTGGCTGTTCATCTTTATCATGTTGACTGAACATGAATATATATCTGAAATATCTTTCTATATAGTGGAAATAATACAAATGAAAACTGTAACGATAGGAATATAAAGATCTAGAATTAATTTCTATACATCCAGAATATTTATTCTAGATGTGGAGAATGTCCTTTTGTTTGAAACGGTCATTTAGATAAGGAAATGCGTTTTTTCAGATAATAGTACCCATTCAGATCAGTGTATCTATTTAGGATCAGTTATCTGGCAGCAGGTGAAGATGAAGTCTAAAAATGTTGTTCTATTAGATTTATCCTGTTCATCATCTCATGGGTTCCTCCTCAGTTAGATTCTGTCTTCTTTTACACAGTCAATACAAACTGTTTCCAGCCGCTTCAAATGTTGTCATCCCAATAAATGGTCGTTTTTAGAGGTTATCAATCCCATAGAATGGCTTCAGATTGTGCCAGTAGACTCAGTAGGTTGTTATCACCCTAATCCTAACCCTAAAGTAATTCATTTTCCCTCACGGAATTAATTAATCAGTCTATGCGTAATATCCCGTCACCTGAGTTGTGTCTAATGGACCTAGAGAATAAATTTTTTTTTTTTTTTGGCAAAAAAAAACTGTCTAACTCAGAATATATAACAAGATTGGCTGTAAGGAGAGCAGAGGACACTGAATTTACTGAAGAAAACCTGCTCCTGACAAGGTCAGCTCTGAGGTGCATGTTACTACGGTGACTGAAACAGAGGTTGAGAAAGCTGAATTCAGGTTTAAAGAGTTTTCAGTAAACCAGCTTCATGAAACGGACCCCCGGCCTCCCGGCGAATCAAAGCATCGTTTCTGGGTCAATCTGACAGTTTGCATATTATGGGGAGATATGGATGGCCCAACTCAATACAAATAAAAGAATGAATGAAATTACATACTTAAGATTCATAAGATTAGTTTGTCTATAAATGCATTTTTCACCGAGTATTTTTGGAGGTGAGGTGTTTGTGTTCTGAGATTGGGTACAATAACACTTCATCCATGCTAAGAAGCTCTCAGTCTGCATCTGAACAGACGTTTTTAAAGGCTGAAGAGGTACTGCAAGAATAAGGGTTAATAAAATCCCAGATTTTACACATTGTTTTCCGTGCTGCACAAGCATAACCAGTGCCCGCTTTCACATTCAACCAGCACTGTCCCTGTATGCTTAAGGCCATGCCAAAAAATAAATAAAAAAGCCTACCATATAATACTGTACAGTTCTTAGAAAAAGTAAAAAGGCAAAATGTTCAAAACTATAAAATGATAATCCTTAAAAAATATTAATAGTTATTACTGATCATTTCTACTGGCCCTAATTGATAGATGCATGACAGCATTATACAGTAGGTTATATTGTTGGCTGTGATTCTGCAGTCAGCCAGCAGGTGGCTTCATGAGTATCTGAAGCTCCAAAACATTCTGTTTGCAAAAACAATCACCATCACTAATTTATTAAGAAAGTATTTAGTAGAGCTCAATAGACTAAGAATAGTATTCAAACTGTAAAGTTTGCTCTGTTCACCAGCAGGCTGATACATTCAACAGGGTGGTGATAGAAATATTTACTTAGAAAAAGGTGGGATAAGAATTTTAAAGCAAAGAATATGCATATATTGTTAGTTTTTATAATAGGAACAGAATTAAATTTTCAATTAAATTTATTTTTGTTTACATTCGTGTATGTAAAATAGCAAAATAATTCTGTCTAATTCTAAGAACTGTGGAAAAACTACTTAAACTTTCTCAAAAGCCTTATTTTCTGCAAATGAGAGAAAATGAAAGGTTTTGTATCCTGACGAACTAAGGTTTGGTTATTTAGTTCAGGAACCTGAAAGTTAAAAACTGGCGAGCTTCTCAGCTTCTACCTTAACCAGAGGGATGGTTACATTTAATTTTCATTTGCGATCAATTAAGTATTTTTTATTTCATTTAATCGAATCTAATGATCTATAATGTTTGTCAATAAAAATGCAATTTCCCTGGAATAATCGTAAAATGCTGCAGCAGATATCAAACTGAGTTTCTTTATCGCTTTGTTTTCCCCTGATCTGCTGATTTTTTATTTCTCCAAACAAAGTATAGTTAATTAGAACATGGTAATATTTACCTGTAGATGGGTAATATATCTTTGATATATTAACACAGAGTGTGCCTTGATAATAGGTTAATGTTTCAGCCGAAATATCCCGAATAACTAGTTTTAAGTAAAAAGTAGTCTCTGATATTCTAACATAGCCCTCGGTGCAGGAAAATAAACAGAAACACAAATTAAATGATTTTCATGCAGAAGTACGGCGCATGGAAGAATGTGACGATAAGAAGAAAGGAGCGCGAGACACAGAGAGCAAAACTTAACGTTAAAATCAACCGATTTAACCTGTGCGCTGCTAACACAGAATCAAAGAACCACAGGGCTCCAACAGCCGGAACCGAACCTCAAATAAGCAGAAAACAAAACATTGCATCAAAAAAAATGGTCGAACTTCATCAAGAACTGACCCACAGTTTCACTCTTTAATCAGCTTTTTGCTGACTGGCTGCTGCTAACTAACCCACCTTAGCATGTCATTCAGCTAACTAACTGCCTTAATCGCAACAGCTTGGTTCTGGTTTGGCTTCGTCCTCATGCCGAACTAGACAGTTCAATGTCAGTTCTCAAATTCTGGTTTGTTTCCTTACATCAACAGAGGGAAGAACTCACCTGAGAGTAGCGGACAGGTGTTTAAAGTAGCTGATAGTTGTAGCCGGTCTGCGGCTGCGCTAAACAGGCACTCTGATTGGATGAGAGAATATCGACTGCAGCTCAACCGTCTGCTTGATTGGTCGATTGAGTGACGACAGAGAATCGGATTAAAGAAGCCATCCAATCAGCTGTGAATAAACAGTTTGTGTGAGCGGGTATCAAGACATAATTAATATTAAACTTTGTGTTTATCATCATATTTATTTGCAAAATATAGAATTGCATATACCTCATCCAGTTTGAGTTCAGTTTAAATATTTTTTTATCTGAACAACAATGTGTAATCAAACTGAAAGTTAATTTTAGAATGTTTTTCTGGTCTTTTAAGGGGTCGTGACATGAAAGAGATTATTGTAATATTATCTGACTCATCTTTCATGTGATTAAAATGAGATCTTAGGCACATTCTATTCAATCTGACGCCAGCTGTCTAAACTGTGATCCGATCCAAGATGGCCTACCTCCAGGCACGTCGGCCTCACTCCTGTGAGATTTCTACAAATATAATGCCTATGGATATGAATATATCATTTTTGGATTGGTTGTGGTCCAGTCAGTGGCTCCTCCTCCTTCCTGGGTAATCCAAACTGTAAAATCAGGTTTCATAGTGCTACATAATGGTTTAAAAGTAACTGATGTATCTTCTGGCTCTTTTTTAGTTTTTTCATATTGATCAGAACCTAGTTAGAAACATTTCATGGGTTGGAATCATATCCTGCACTGATTGTACACAGTAAAATCAGGGCCTAAATCTAAATTCTTGACTTCCTCAATGAAACTCACATGACTTACTTTGGTAATTTGGACTTTTGTTATTTTCACACCTGGATCTCACCTGTTCTATTTCAATTAAAAAAAATTACATTATTTTCTGTCAGTTAGGAAATATGTAAATTTTTTTAAATTGAAATAGAACAAAATGACTTCTGAGGATGAATGACACAGCTGTGGATCCCAAACTGATACCTGTCTGGAGAGAGACACAGAGCAGAGGACTATGAAACCAAATCTAGTCTCCTTCATAAAAGAATGTGAGAGAGACTCCATGTTCTGATGAAAGATTGGGATTTTTATTATACTAAGATTCATCTATAATATACAAACATTCACAATATTTTATACAATCACTTTGTGCTTCTCCCTACGGAGTAAACCGTTAGACAACAAGTTTACAGAATTGGTCCATGGTACACAGGACCTAAAAATAAGCTCATGCTCAACAACAGTATATTTAGATCTAAATCTATCATTTACAAATTCACTTCAAAAATAAAGTCATATGAAGACAATTTTATTTTATATTCTCATAAGATGACACACAGTGGGGTCACTCCTGGGTCCAAACACAAGAACCCTTACAGCTGCATGGGTTATAATTATCATTATAATAATATTTAACAATATCACACACACACACGCACACCTGATCATGTAAAACACACTGCAAACATGGTGGCTACATGACAACACCTGCTAAAGGGGCGGGGCCTCCTCTCTGCACACTACTGGTAGGTGAGACTGTAGATGACTAGAAAACAGCTTCAGGGTGATGGCCATCATGAGGCACGGCTGCAGGCTGCGAGGGCCCTTCATGGTTAGACTGGTCCAAACTGGGCTGATGTGACCCTGGTCCCCGTCTACTCTGAACTGGATTTAACTGGATTGATTCAGACTGAAGTGAACTGGCAGTACGGTCCTGGGTTGATTTGGAAAGAACTGGCCTGATCCAGATTAAACTGCTGTGAACTAAACTGAACCAAATGTGTATGACTGGATCTTTCCTAGACTTATTTGATAAAAACGGTAATAATCTACCCTGAATAACTCTTAGTTGGTCAGAATTTTAATGTGATTTAAAGTCTTTTCACATAAAGAGTCCGGATGGTCATCAGAAAACTGATGGTGAGGAAGGTGAACCTCTTATTGCCGAGTTTAGGTTTGGCAGGAAATTTGTGTTAAAGGTCATGGCTACAACTTTTTCATCAAAACAATTAATTTTACAAAAATAATAGATCCACTGAATGTCTAGAGTGGTGTGGAATGAAATAATTAATTTTACAAAAAAATAAAATATTTAGTATATACATATTTGTTTTATACATTTTGACGGGTCCAAAATATATTAATATTGATTCCTGGTTATGATGCCAAAGTTGAAAGAAAATGATTCTCCATATAGGAATAGCAGATTAAAGTCAAGTAAGATGCAGCAAAGGCATTGCCAGATCCTAGGAGCTTTGAGATTGTGATAAAAATTGGCTTCTTCTCTGTGTTGCATTTCTCAGATTTAGGCACAATAAAATTAATAAAATAGTGAAAATTTGTTAATCTTTCGTGCGTTGGTCACAAGTTCAGGTAGCAAAAATAGCTAAAAGCCACCTGGAGGTACCTGGTTTCCCTACTGGTAATGGCATAGTTACACCTTGACAATTTAAGGCCAATTTATGCTTCTGATGCATAGCCTCTGCAACCGTAAAATCTGTCTCTGTGCGCGACCACGCCCTCTGTGCAGATGTTCTACAACTGTTGTCACGCACCTCAAAAAAATCCTGACTACGCATTGGACAGTTGCAAACCCGCGCAGACCTCAAGCGGAAGTGCGCAGAGAAAAAGCAGCTGTGACTGGTCTTCGAATAGGCTCCCCCTAGCGCTCTGGCAGGAAACTGCTGTGTTTCCCTAGAAATTCCAGACTGACGGTGCAGAGGCATACCAGCAAAACTGGTTCGCGACCAGACCCAAGCGACATTTGATGTGCAGAAGTCTAATCTGCCCTTTAGCCAGCATTGGCTGACGTACAAACAAGTTGGCAACAACGCTGGCGTATGTTGATAAGTTATGGGTCTATTTTGTATAAGTTATGAGCATACTGAAGCACGCTGGCAAACGTCGACATACGGCAAGTACGACATATGCCGGCGTATGCTCATATGTGGGCCATAAGTTAAAGGGAGGTTATGTGATCGTTGATATACGTTAATTGTAAATTACTCAGAAGTCGTGGTGTCTAGCTTATCCAACCTGTATCATCCCCATCATAGGGTGAGAGAGAAGGTGAGTGTGAGGGATCCTCCCTTCTTTTTATATCATTTTACTTTTTATTTTTTTAGCGGGCAGTAAAAAGCTGCTAGGGTAATATCGCGACTGCGAAGTTTAGAGAAATCTTCTTGTTGTGCCTGGCATGCAGGCCAGGCCTGGGTGCATTGCTGTCCCCCTCAGGACACTGGTTTGTGACATTTCATGGGCATTACGTTGCCGTGCGTTATGCGTAAGTTAGGCTATCGTTGGACATAAGTTCTGGACTCATTTTGAATACTCTATGTATACACCCACAATGAAAAAAATAAAAAGTTCAGTGTATACCAGCATTTTAGGAGATTCTGGGACTTCAGCATACACTGGCTTAATCGTCAAGATGTGACAGCGCCATAAGGTAAACGTTTGCTAATTCTTAAAAAAAAAAACTGGCAGCAATCTTGAAACAGTAAATTTGAAGGTTGGAACAAGAGCGGGTCAGCACAATTGCACCACGTACTGGCCAGGAGAAGTTAAACTTGTATCTTTCTCCTTTAACAAGTCAACATTTAATATCTATCTTGAGTTAATCAATAAGTCATTGTTCAGCAGGTGACTCTGGTATTGATTAGTCCATTTTCAGCAGATGACTCGGTTAATGATGAGTCATTATTCATCCAGCGACCGATGCCTAAAGTGAAACTTTAATTGGAGAAATTACTTTACTGCTTAGTCACTGTTCTGCAAGTGACTCATGTTTGTTTCAAGCTATTTTTGGCCAGGTGACTAACTTTAACAGTCAGTATTTCACAGGTCTTTATTGAAACCGGTCCTTATTGATCAGCAGTTTATTCTTGTTAATGTCTGGTAAAGGTAAAGCAGTTTAACAGTGTTAAACCATTCAGTGACTCAGGTTAACACATTAGTGCTCAACAGAAGTTTTTTAATGATGGGTCAATAATAAGCAGATGACAATGTTGACTTGATTAATAAGGTTCACATCAGGACGAACACTAAAGGACTGTTGATGATACATTTGTTTGGTCTGGATTAATGTTGGAGGGGGGGCGGCCTAGTGGTTAGGGCATAGGTCTTGAAATCCTGAGGTTGTGAGTTCAAAACCAACTCTTACAGACTGCCACTCTGGCTCTCTGGGCAAGACCCCCAACACCTCATTGCACCCCACGAATGCAGCTTACTGCTTATTCAAATTGCAGAGATAAATTTCTCCAATGTTAGATCAATAAAGTTCAATTATTATTATTAGTTTAACAGTGTCAAATTTGACTCAGTTTAACAATATTAAAATTGAGGCATAGTTTACAGCATTAATGTTGACTCTTAAGCCTGATTTATACTTCAAAACTAGGCTGTCTGCGTAGATGTCGCAGCGAAAGCAAAGACGTCCGCGCCCCCTCTGCAGACACTCTGCTGCATCTCTCCCAAGTTGTAGTAGACCGCAGAAAGTGCTGCAGACAGGAGGCCTCTGATTGGTCAAATCTACATCTGCTTGCTGGCTTGGTTTGTTTGTATGAACGCAGTTGTGGAAACGACTCGTGAAGTTGGACCAGCTAGAAGAGCGAGGTGCACAAGAACTTTGGGACCCTTTTTCCACCTGGATTCCCGCTCTTTTTCACCGTCATGTCCTTCCGTTGTTGGACAAACTTGCCCCACTTCCTCACCGCCATCTGTATCTAGTGGTGTGGAATATAATATAGCGCAAACCACTCTTCAATATTGAGCATAAATCAAAAATGTCTGCGTCAAGCTCACTGCTAAAAACTGCCACTGGGAGTACAACCAGCCCTTTACATAGACAGTGCTAACGTTGAGTCAGACTTTATCAGAGTTAACAGAGTTTAACACCTTAACATTGTTAAACTATTTCTTAGTTTTGCAGTGTTAACTCTGACTCGTAGTTTAACACTGTTAAAATTGGGTCATATTTGAACAGAGTTAGCATTGAGTCATTGTTTCAGTGTGTTCATATTCACTCAAAGTTTAACGGTACTAAAAATGAGTCATAGTTTAATAGTGTTATTTCTGACTCATAGTTTAGCTGTATTAACACTGTCTCATAGTTTAACAAAGCTAACATCTAATTACAGTCCAATATACAGATTAAAACCTCAAACCTTGAGTATATGAGAATAAGCTCCTTAACTTTTGCTAGTCTTGCATGTTGAGTCCCAGTGTTAACCTTGAGTCTCAGATTAACAACATTCCAGTTTAATCATAATTTATTAATTATAAGTAAACCGAAATAAATCGACTAATTCAACATTGTTAACTGTGATTGATAGCTTAGCTAGAAATCGATGAAAACAGCGAGTCGTTCTGCAGGAGAATTGTGTTAAAGCTGAGTCATAGTTTGGCAGTGACTGTTCTTAAAGCTAAGTTGATGTTTAACAGTGAGAGGCGGAGCTGTGCTTTTCTTTGATCCTACCTTAATAAAAGCGACATTCTAACGTGGTGCATTTAAATCCACCAATCATTTCATGTCAACCTAATGGGAATGGTGATGATCTGAAAGAAGACATTGAAATGTAAAACACAAGATGCTGTTTTTTACTAGTCTGCTTCCCATCTGATGAGCTTTCCAGAGTTCAGACCATAAGTCCAGCCATCAGAAGGAGCAGTAGCCACCTCCTTGACTTCCTGGGACTCTAACCACGACTATGTTTCCTTTTATATCTGTTTAACACCTGTCAAGGTTCTACCTGCTTTGTGATGTTGCTTTTACTGTGCATTGAAAGTACAGAGTTAAGTAAGAGTTGTTGAGTTATTAAGCGTTAGACCATTTCTAATGTCAGTCTCACATCATCATGCAACCATGGCTTAAATAACAGCAGGGTGTTAGAGGTTGGGACGTCTTACTGGCACCAGTTCAGCAGGATCATCCTGGAGGCACTGACACAAACCTTGGACTTTTTCACGACAACAGCATAGAAACCCCGCCAAGTGTTGGTCAACTGTATGGTCAGCAGGTGGCGCTTTAGGTTTAAGTCGCACAAATGTCCCCTAAACAGAGTAAGGGCCACAATAGGAAACCAAAAACCAGATGTAGTTCTGTCCCTTCTCATACTCTGTGGAGAGCCTGCTGAAACATGACAAGTTAACTTTGGGGAGGAGACGCCAGCAGTCAGCCGGCCTCAGATACACGGACATCACATAGATGGAGGTGTTTCATGGATTTCTGCAGGAGGATTCACTGATGGCTCACAAATATGGACTGAAGCAGAGCGGGGGTGAAGGGATGTCTTAACAGTTGAAATATCTGATTTTCTTCGTTTTACCTACAGACTGGGGTGGGAAAAGGAGGAGGGAAGGAGTGGTTCGACTGATGATCAGCAGCATTTCTGAGGTAACTGGGCAGGCTTGTCGGTCAGTCTGGTGGTCTTTGAGCCAGGAGCTGCAGGCACCTCCACGTCCACACGCTCAGACATCTTTACACAGATGATGTCTACCAGGCGCTCAAACACCTGCCGTACATTGATATTCTCCTTGGCGCTTGCCTCGTAGTACTCAAATCCTGCAGGGGATAACAACAGTTCACACCAGGAATGCTACTCCACAAAGAGAAAAACAAGTTAACAAAACCACAGTTGATCTGTAGTGTTTTTGTAATAAAATCCTTTTTTTTTCTACAAAAGTTTATTGGAAGGATTCTGATAGAGTCTTGTCGCTTGTTCAAAATGACTATGTTTTGAGTCAGATCCATCATCCATCATAAAAAGTGCCATCCACACTGGATCCATTCGGACATCCAGAGAGCACAGCTTTTATTTTGAAAACTCAACAGATCTGCTTTGCTTGTCCAGTGTCTGACTTCCTTTGTGACTCATCTGGTGTTTAGAAATATGTGTTTTATTCCATCATCCATTGAAAAAAGCCTGTATCTGTATTTGTGATGGACAATAGAGGAGGGCTCTCCCCTAGTTGTGCCAAGGAGCCACTGGACAAGAATCACCTCATCAACTAGAAAAAGCTTCATTTTGTGACAGAGAAAACCCCACAGATGACGGAGAATGAAGCTGTACTACATGTAGTTCCTTCAAAGTGCCACATGGTGCACTTAAAGGCTTTCACCTTAGACCAGGCATCCCCAACCTCGGTCCTCGAGGCCCGCTGTCCTGCAGGTTTTAGAGGTTTCCTTGCTCCAGCACAGCTGATTTTAATTGAAAGCTGATTAACAGGGTTTTGGTCTACTGCAATTATTATAACCAGCTGTGCTAAAGCAGGGAAACCTCTAAAACCTGCAGGACAGCGGGCCACAATGACCGAGGTTGCGGATTCCTGCCTTGGACCACTTTGATTGTGTGTTCCAGAGCTACCATTAGCCGCATTCCTTCTTTAGCACACCTAAACTAGATGAATCATTTGCTACAAAATACCAGCAGCTATTAATGACTGAAAGCTGCTGAGGGAGTCAGGAGTCATCCTTCTGGGATAGACCAGAAAATGTGGCAGGATAATAGCTCTGGATGATCAGACAGGGTCAACCCATTTGTATAAATAAACCAAATGGTTTAAATAAACTAAAATAAATTTTTGATGCTATAGATTATTATTCAGACAAAAAAACATGTTCTTCAGTCATTTAGATTGTTTTTACTCTAAGTTGATATCACAGCAACTTACCCAGCTGGTCGGCCAGGTGTTTTCCTTTCTCAGGCGGTACGACTCTCTCCTCATCCATGTCACACTTGTTGCCCACCATGATCACCTGGGCATTGTCCCACGAATATGTTTTGATCTGAGTGGCCCTGCAGACAGAGTGACAGCAAGCTGGAGCAGTTGCCTCCCAACCTGAATCATTATGCATACCAGCATCGGGCCAATCACATACCAGTCTTGGACTGCATTGAATGACTCTTCGTTTGTGATGTCATACATGAGGATAAAGCCCATGGCCCCACGGTAGTAGGCTGTTGTGATGGTACGATAACGCTCCTGCCCTGCAGTATCCTGGAGGCACAGAATCAGAGCTCAGAACAGTGCTATAAGCTTGACTTTATCAATGGTTAGAACTTCCATCTCTACCCAGGGTTCTCATTCCTTGCATTAACTCAGTAAAATACAACATTGCTAACAGCTCAATTATATTTTAGCGACCACATCACATAGAAAAATCCTTGGACTTTGTAAACAAAGTCAAACATCTAAAGATGGCTGCAGGAGAAACCCTGGTGTCTTTTGATGTCACTTCATAACATGCATACCTCTATCAGAGGCAGTGGAAACATTCAGGAAACGTCTTCAACAAGAAAGTGACCTAAACAACAGGACTTATTTCACTCTGGACCAGATCTGCAGCCTACTGGACCTTTGTCTTTCCACAACCTATTTCAAGACCAAGGATCATTTTTACAGACAGAAGCTTGGTTGTACCATGTGACTCCAGTGTCTCCAGTTGTAGCCAATCATTACATGGAAAAGAGAGTTTTGGGCACCTTCATAGGAAGACCAGCAAGCCACTGGTTTAGATATGTAGCTGACACATTAGTCATAATCCTGGTAAAAGAAGTGCAAGCTTTCACAACACACATCATCTCAGTGGACCACCACATCAAGTTCACCAGAGAGGATGCCAATGACAACAAGCTACCTTTTCTGGACTGTTTAGTGAGCATGAAAGGAGATGAAAACCTAAACATTTAAGTGTATAGGAAACCTACTCACACAGACCAATATCTACTTTTTGACCCACACTACCCACTGGAACACAAACTTTCTGTCATCAAAACCTTACAACATTGAGCTGAACATGTTTATCTGCTCTCCAAACCTGAGGTTACCCAAACTGGGCGTTTTCAGGACTCCTGTTTTTGTGTTTGTGTTTCTGTGTTTGCCTCCCTTCATCCACCAGGAGGCGCCTGGTTCTGGTCCGCCTCCTCACACACCTGCTGATGGTTTCCTCGTTAAACGGAGTGTTCTTAAGCTGCTGACTGCCACTACTTCGACGCCAGAGTGTTTGCCAGTTTAGGGTACTCTAGCCAAGCTGAGTTTTTGCTGAGTCAAGCTGAGCTTTTTGTCAACCTGAGTTTAACTTTGTTTTTGTCTTCGCCTCTTGGCAGGAAGTCATCCTGCAAACTGGATTTCTCGGACCTTCACTCCCTGGAAGGATCAACTGAGCTTCAAACTGAGCTGGGGTTCAAACAGGAGGTTTGGATCCACTTTCCCCAAGAGATTGTTTGAGCTTCTCACTGAGAAAGGGAGAATTCACCTTTTGCCTGGTCTCTCTGTTCGGTTTTCTGCATTTGGGTCTGAACTTTGTAACATCATGACAGGCGTTTGTCAAATCAGCAAAGAAATCCAAAAAACATGCAGCAGATCATAACGCGGAGAAGATTAAACGCAAAAACATGGGCATCCCATATGTTGCTGGAGTCTCTGACACACTCAGGAGGATTTTCTCCAAACACAAAATCCCAGTACATTTTAAAACCAAAAAAGATCCTTCGACATAGACTAGTGCATCCTAAAGACAAACCCACCAGACCTAAGATGAGCAGAGTGGTGTATGAAGTTCAATGCGGTGAGGAATGCTCTGATCTTTATATTGGAGAAAACAGAACAACATATCCACAGACGCATGGCCCAACACAGACAGGCTACCTCCTCTGTACAAGACTCTGCTGTCCATCTACACCTTAAGGACAAAGAACACTCATTTAGGACCAGAATGTTCACATTTTGGACAAAGAAGCCAGGTGTTTTGAAAGGGGTGTGAAGAAAGCCATTTATGTTAAGAAAGAAAAAACAACCTTAAACAGAGGGGGAGGACTCAGGTTTCAGCTCTCAAAAACCTTTCCACTCAGCTACAGAGTTGATTCCTTCCCACTATCATCTTAATCCTCATCGCAATGCAAGGGATCCTGTTTAGCCAAGCCAACAACAACCCTAACAACTTCCCTTTACAGATGCATGGGCTAGTATCGTGTTTTACAGGCCAACAACGACCTCAACAACTTCCCATTACTAAGGGGTGGACCTGTTTTTTACGGTTCACTTTGCATGTTTCCTAAGCCATAACAAGGCTTTTGTTTGAGCCACTCTATAAGCCTGGAACTCAACGCTACTCCAGACATTTTGAATTGAGAAAGCTTTCTGGATGGGAAGTGTAACGTCTTCAAACTTGGGAAAAAAAGTCCAGTAGTCTGTTTACTGGACACAGGACCTGGACACAGGTCCAGGTCCTTAGCTCTAGCAGTGACAACAGGGTCCATGGTAGAAGCAAGGAGGTTTGGAATGTACGTGGAAAGATCTTTCAATTTCAAGAACTTTTCCTTTGCTATCACCTCTGACACTGGTGGAGGGATCCAGCAATTGTCAAACCATCCTGTTCAAACCTACCATCTCCTGCTCCATCCTTTAGCATCTCCTGCTCCATTCTGCTATCGGTTGCAAATGATGTACAGAAACCTTGAATAAATGACACTCACTCTAGAGAAAGTGAGGATGAAACCTCACTCTGCAAACCCAGAATCTTATATGAACAGGACAGGCAACCTCAGGTTTGGGGATGTTTTAGTTGCTTTAAGATGATGTGAGGAAACCGAGGCCATCCTGATGATTAGCAACCATGGAGGCTGCTCTTCCTATGTTACAACCCCAATGTCAGAGCATACCATTAGAGCATAACTTCAGCTGCTGTGTGTGTTTGTGTGTGTGTGTGTTTGGGTGTCTCTGTGAACAGTGTGGACTCTGCTGTAGAGCTCCAGAGATGTTTTATGTCTGGAGCATCACTGGGGGATCATAATCTGCTTTGGGCTGATTGTTAACGGGAAAACTAAGAAGAAATGGGATGAAGGTGGAGATGAGTCCAATGGTCTGCTGGGCTCGGCGTGAGTTTTATCTTCATCCTGCTCTCCCCTGCAGCTACTCTGAAATCAGACGTTCTGCTAAATTTAGCCATTAGCGTCTCTGCTGTGACTCAGTTTGAGTTGCTTTCCACTGAGGGATGCAGCTCACTCAACCTGAAAGGATGCAGACCTGATGTGACAGTGGCTGGGCTCCAGCTGCAAGTTCCTCTCATATGTTCCATAATTAACTACAGTTTCTATTTGTTCATGTTCTACATCGTATGAAACAAGGAAATGTCTGAAGATCCAGAAAAGAAAGCTGCTTATAATGCTGTAACGCATTCAGCTTAAAACAAACCCTGATTTATAGCAGCCAAATAGATAAAAGGTCACTTGTAGGCCTCAGCAATGCATTTTGGGTAATGGAGTTCAAGAGAGCGACACCACCTAAAATATTTCCACTTGACTTCTCTATTTGATGCTGAGAACTAAAAAATGTCAAAGCGAGGGAGATGAAATGTAGGCGACCTACAGGTTAGATGAACCAACAAAGCTTTATGTTGAACTGAAAATCAAGCAGTTAAATATCTTCATGTCATCTCAGGTCACTGTACAGCTACCTGATGCTAATAACCACAGCTCCCATGATGCTCTTCTGCAGCTGTTCTACACATCTGAGGCTTTAGTCTATTTTTACTCCCCAAAGAGCTGTTTAAATCAGTTGCCGCAAATTAACCCCCATCCACACACAAACACACACCCATTCCAATGTTCCTGCTGCTCCTCCATCCCGGCGTTCACCCTGAGATGTCCCTTTAATTGCCCCCAAAGAGGATGCCGTTTGTGTGTCTGTTTTGTATTTATCTGTGTGTGTGGGGGCGTGTGACTGTGTGAGGCAGCAGGGAGGGAGTTAGCGTGAAGAGCTGTTACCATGGCAACAATATCCCCACTGAAAGAGCGGGTGGCAGCACAGCAGCGAGAGCGTCGGTCAGAGCAGAACATCATGTCTCCGTCTGTTGTTATTTAGCATTCCTGCTGGAGTACCCTGCAGACGGTTAATGCAAGAGGATTCTAGAGACTGTTCATTCTGAAGGTTCCTACTAAGGCCCCCAAGAGAAAGTTCCCAGTAAAGTGTTCCCAGAGAAAGGTTCCACTTAAGGTACCTGCAGAGGTTTCATGCAAAAGGATTCTATAAAAGGTTTAGGTTCCTAGTGAAGCCTCCAAGAGAAAGTTCCTACTAAAGATTCATGCTAAAGGTTCCTCCCGAAGGTTCAAGTAGAATGCTCCCAAAAAAAGTTTACACTGAAGCTTCTTACTGAACGTTTGTAATGAAGCTTCCTATAGAAAGGTTCCTACTGAAGGTTTATCCAAAATGTTCCCAGAGTCAGTTCCTAATTGGTTCTTTGTAAAGGTTCATGGTGAAGGATGTGTATTTCCAAACCTGCCCTGTCTGCCATTACAGTTTATCGTAACTGTAAGCCTTCCTGATGTCTCAAACTGATTTATTTTTTCCCTCAGAGATGAGCTGAACTTAAACAGTCTCTTTCACTTGGTTATTTCTTCTAGATCTACATGGTCTTGTCCTCCACACCAGTGACAGGTTTAATCTTTTTTTTTTTTTAGCCTTTATTTTCATTACACTTTCACAATTACAGAGCAACGAAATTAAATCCCTGCATTTAACTCATCGCCTTTGGGGAGCAATGGGCTGCCATTGTGCAGCGCTCTGGTAGCAGTGTGGGGTTAAGGGTCTTTGCTCAGGGACCCAGAGTGGCAGTCCGTGGGCGTGGGGCTTGAACTCAGAACCTCTGGAATCCAAGCGCCATGCCCTACACCACTCGGCCGCCACTCCCCTTAAATCTATGACAGCAGACTAGAAGAGGCTTCTACACTGCAAAAAATGGAAATCTAAGTAAGTCATTTTTTCTTAAAGTAAGTGCATTTTTTCTCCAATTGAGGACGAAAGTGAGACACTTTGCCAATGGAACAAGACAATTTACATTTAAAATAAGAAAAAACAATTGCATTATCTTATTTCAAGTTCATATTATCTAATTATCTTATTTTAAGAGTAAAGATACTAATTTCATTGGCAAATCAATTATTTACCTACTAAAATTAAGGGTAAATACACTTAGTTCAAGACATTTTTACTTATTTCTAGATATTTTTTGCAGTGTAACAGCTGATGGAGGCTGATGGTGGTCTCATGGGGAGGTTATGCTAATCTTTATATCTACAGCTCTAAAGACAACTGAAGCTCTGAGGTATTCTGACTAACCGTTTTAGGCTCTTCATCAATCTGGAGTTTAAGCTTAAAATACGTAACCTCTGACCCAAACTTAACTCTGTTATTTAATTTAGCTTCAGCTCAGTAAAGTCGTCTTTCATCTACCCTGAAGCCCCTTCCCCTCTCCTTACCCAGATCTGCAGCTTGATCCTTTTGTCGTTGCGGTAAACCGTCTTCACCTTGAAGTCAATGCCGACGGTGCTGACGAAGGAGTTGCTAAAGGAGTCGTCTGCGTAGCGGAACAAGAAGGATGTCTTCCCAACGCTGCTGTTCCCAATGATCAGTAGCTTGAACATGTAGTCGAAGTTCTGGTCGGAGCCATCCCTCTGGCCATAACGCTGATCTGCCTTCGCCATCTGATGTTTGGTGAGAGGACAGAAGAAATCTGTCAAATCAGAGGGCAAACATCTGAGTTCAGTTTGAACATTCAATCCAGACCTGCACTCTTTGTCTGCTCTAATGTTCCCTTTGAATTTTAACTGAGATCAGCAGCACCTTCTGATGCTCTACCTGACCTTAAAACCCTTGACTGAGGATTGCACTGCTGTATACCAGTAAGCATTGATGGGATTACATTCTGATGAGATCGACTGCTCAGAGAAGTCTTCAGATAAATCTGTTCTCTGGGGCCACTTACAGGAATCAGTCCAGGTAAACCAGACACAACATTACATCACTGCCAAGTCACTGATTACCTGGTTCCTACCTGTCATAGGATGTCTCTACCTGCACCAGGAGTAGAACTTTATGTTTTACAGGTTAACAATTAAGATCAAGTCATGTAATAGCTGTGGAACACCTCCAGTTCCTAGAAACTTTCTAGTGACCTAATGTGGTCCTCATGCCTAGACACTGTTCAGAAGAAGACCCAAAGGAGACTGGACATCCTGTAGCAACCCAACAATTGTCCAACCGTCCAGAGAAGCTGGATGTCCTATTTTACACCAATATCATTCAATTTGTTTTAAGCTTCACCATCTGTGTGTGGTTTGGATTATCTATGAAATTGGACAGGTACAAACTGCAACAAACAGGTCTATGGAAAGGATACCTGGACCAACCGGTCAACCAACCGTCCATCTGTCTGTTCATCCATCCACGGCCTGTACAAGTCTATGGTCAGAAATGGGCAGATAACTTCTCTGCAGATCCCACACATCCTGGACACTATAGGTCACAGGTGTCAAACTGGTTCCAGAGAGGGACGTGTGGCTGCAGGTTTTCTTTCCAACCAAGCAATAGCACACCAGACTCCATTCCTCTCATCAAGTGAGTCCAGTCAGAACATGATGACTTGATGAGTTGAATGGAGTCTGGTGTTCTATTGCTTGGTTGGAAAGAAAACCTGCAGCCACACGGCCCTTTCTGGAACCAGTTTGATACCCCTGCTTTAGGACATTAATTGAGAAAACAAATTGACACAAAGACAGATTGTCTCTCTGCTGAACTCACAGCCATGCTAGTCACTCTGCAAGAACAATTAAGCCCTTCAATACCACTACTACAGAAAATTGTCTGTGTTCACGCACTTGTAGACACTGCTCCTTGTCCAACAAAGAGTTTAACATACTTTGGCTTGATTTGTGTACAGATGTGAGAAGATGTGAATTCCTTGCACACAAACTCGGCATTAATTCTGAGGGTATGGCTGAAGCCACAGCAACAAGAGCACCAGGACTGATGAGTCTGACTCAAGTAATTAAAAAAAAAACATAGAAAACAAACTGGAACAGGAAGCTGTTAGAATCTGATGTGTAATAAGATGGTCATTGAGAAGGTAACTCCAGTTTAACCACCAGGAGAGACTGGCAGGTCTGATTATAGAGACAGAAAAATGATGATATCAGCATAGAAACTGCTCAGCAGGAACAATTGGGAACTTCTTTAGTCAAACAAACAACCATTAACCAGTAATAAATATCAACACATAAGATTGCTTTATCTGTTGACTTCCGTCAGGAATTGCAGGCTGGAGTAAACAATGGGAGGAGTTAGGACAGGTGAGGTGGAGCCGTACCTGTCCTTCTAAAAATGCCATAAAACCATTGAGATGGACTGGAAGTCAGACCTGAACAGGTGGTTTGACATTAATGTTGTGTTTCTAAGTCAATGGATGGTGAATGGCTGATGATAACTGCTCAACAGGAAAAGTAGCTTGGACACCACTGATCACAAACAACATGGAGTTACTGGGACCTGAAGAGCAGGCAATTAGGGAATGGATCATAGTCACATTCCTTTACATCTAAAGGAATGTTGGTAAAAGTAAGGCCATTGCCTATTGTCTGGGAGATTAGACCCTTAGAAATTTTATTGTTTTGGCTAAATAATTGCAAAATTTAACGCCTTAACCTCAAATAATTTGTTTCCGTTTTGAAACCTGAAGATCCCCTTTACTAAAATGGACAATAATTATCAAGCTGAGAAAATCCAGCCTGTTGAGAAGAACAAGAACAAGTGAAAGACTGTCAACTAAATAAGAGCTCAGTAGCTGAGACTTTGAACAAGAACTGCAGGTAAAATCAGCCCCATGAAGAACACAGCAAGCAGACAAGCTGAAACTCTGAAAACAAGACACGCCTTCACCTGACCATGTGTAACCAGCGGATCAGCCTGAAAAACAGCCAACTGAGATCGATATTTCTGCAGAAACATCCGGGTCCTTATTCCCAAAGCCTTCCTGTTAGGAGTTTAATCTTCAGTGATTCGGCTGCTGAGAATGACACTATGGAGAAGACAGAAGCCCTGACCTTAGTGAGGAGGTGTGGTTGACCTTGTTTCTGGGCTTGTGATTGGTTAATGCAAGAATCAAATGTTTTCCTTTTAATAGAGAGAAATAAACCAATCATGGAGTTTAGACTGTATGAAGAAATGTGTGATAATGATGATGAAACTTTGCATCATTTTCCTACAGCATCACTTTGAACCTTTTTTTTTATCCTCATCAGTATTTTTGATTTGCTGATTGTTGTATTTACTCTTCATTCTGGTCCTTTTACTGCTTCATCTGTTAGATGTTAATGTGGACTCACCCATTAACATTTTATTGTGATTGGCTGCTTGTTTAAAGAGGACTGATTTGGCAAAACGACCATAAAGCAGCTGGTGGGGGAAAATAGAGGAGGAATCTTGGTGGCCACTGACCGGAACCAGCCAAAAGGACACTTTTCCTATTTTAAAACAGTATTGGGGACAGTGGCGCTCCAGCAGTATGCAGTCATCCTGTTTCTCTTTCTCTTGTTTGGATCACTGGTGCTAAGTCAGACTTCTTTCCCGGTTCAAGTTAGACTCTGTAGGGTTGCCTTCTATCACCAGTTCTGTTCAAAAATCTGTAAGAGCCAAAGTAAATGTTTTATATTTTGTTAATATTTTTGGTGGCACAGGTGTTCAGATCTCCCCACACCTGGAGTGATTGCTTAGGGCGGAGGTCTTCAACAGGGGGTCTGCGACTCCTAGGGGGTCCACGGAGGTTTTGGTTGATTTGACTTTTTTTTTAATATTCCCCCCTGCAATTCTTTCCACTAATTGTAATGTATGTAAATGTACATTAACAAGAACTCAACACACTGTAATAAACAGAATCAGAAATACTTTAATCCCAGGGTGAGATTACTTTTGTTACATTACTCCATATGTAATAGAGTGATTATATGACTAGTTAGATATAACCAAATGTCATACAATATATACCCCCTGGGTTAGAGGGTGTGATCCCTTGTTATTTAGGAGATAGGGGTGTACTTGATAGTCAGTTTGGGGAAGAACTTTTGGCAAACTTTTCTGTTGAACGTCATTTCTAAGAAAGAAAACGCAAGTTGGGCATACGATTGTTTATTGGAGAGGTGTCACAGTTAAAAAAACTTGTCAGCCAGCAGCGGCTCCATTGGTGGATGGAAGTCGCCACAACATCCATGGGCAAGATTTCTAGGTATAACCAAAATCCTGAAGGGGATATGGTTTGAGGACCATCAGATTTCTTCTTTTAGTGGAGGAGGTGTTTCTGTTGGCTCCATCTAGCCAGTAGCATGTGCTGTTGCAGTTTAAGTATCTCAGGGTGTTGTTCAGGAGGGAGGGGAGAATGGAACGCGTGACCGAGAGATGGATCGTTGCAGCTACCGGTGGTAGAAGAGAAAACTGAGACAAAACATGAAGCTCTCGATATACCTGTCATAAAATGTGGGTCATGACCAAAAGAACAACCTCCCAGACAGAAGCAGCTGAAAACTGTAATCTGCAGGGTGGAACCTTAGAGATGGGGCCATCCAGCAGAGGCTTAGAGTAGAGGCGCTTCTACTCCATCAGTTTTGGATGGTTGCTACACGCCTCGCTCCGAGCATCCAGGTGGCATCTGGGTTTTCCAAGCACGTCCAGCCAGACTGATGTTCAGGGGACGGCCCAGGACATTAATTCACTCTGCTGACCAAGCATCACCTCAGGCTTCCCCCAGAGGAGCTGGAGGAGCTTTGAGGGAAGTCTGGTTGGCTCTGCTGAGACCACTGCCTGGTCCAAAATATGTGGCACATGAAAAATATATGAGTTTATAAGCTTTTCAATTTGTTTTAAAGCTGTTTTTTAAAATAACTGTTTTTCACTAGTGCACTGAACCCCCTGGTCCAAAACATATGTCTCCTAAAGGCCCCCCAAAATAACAGTTTGGCTGTGATGTTTGAAAATCTGCCTTGTTGTTTGGAACTAGGGGTGACATCATGGAGTCAGGTCCAGAAGTCTCAGCTGCTCCACTGGGTCAACGCCACAAAATCAAACCAGATTATTTAAAATCGGGAAAAACTCTGCTTCTGCGATGATGAAATAATGATGACAGTTAGACTCGTTTTTGACTCCAAAATACTTTGGAATACAAAGCTACTTCGTGATTGGCAGGAGGCCCGTGCCATCATACCTCCTCCTCTGTGCAGCTGATAGTATCAGGTGTTTATGCTGATCTGGTGTTTGCTTTCTTCCAAACATGAAATCCTGCTGTCATTGTGTTTTTTAAGAGACAAGGCTTTCTCAATCCACACTTTCAATCAGCAAGACTGGTTCAGGGTCACGACCTTTAACCAGCTAAATGAGAAGAGTTAGTAGAGCCTAAGGAGAAGGTTGGGTTATCTGTAATTTTTTTTTAGCTTCCTGCTCTGAACTTGCTGAGACGTCTGCTCCTTTAACAACTGGCAGCTGTCTGAAATATTTCACCCATCTGCAGGATCATGGATCTCAGGTCGCTAAGAGACGACTTTATGATCCTTCCAGGTCGATGGGCAGAAAAAACTGCCACTCTGAAGAAATTAAACTAGAACCAAGCAACATAAGAAACGGACCGAAGTAAAAAATGAGATTGAAGTTGAACAAAAGCAGAGCAAACGCTGGAATAAATGAATCAAAATCTCATGTGAACCTCGGATGAAACTCTGGTCATGTGACTCAGCAGACCAGTGCATCATTGTCATGGAAACCTGCTGAGGGAGATGGAGACGATCCATCCCTTAATATGGGCTTTGACCATCAGGTTCTGACGAATAACACTGAAGATGTTCTGGCAGCTCCGTCACACACAGTGGGTCTCACCTGAGGGCCGTTGCTGTGGAGACGAACAGGGCAGCAGTCTCCAGGTGAGACAAGATGAGCTGAAAAACAAGAAGGCGCTGAGGTTAAATCATTTAAGCCTCAGAACCAGATCCGGTCAGGGTCCAAACAGAGTCCTGTTCCTGCTGAACCACTGTGGTTCTGGTTGTGTTCCAGTTGGATCAGATCCGCTGCATGAGGGAGTCTGTGAAGGTGTTTCTGACTAGATCAGAAAGACCCAGCCGTCCTGGTTCCACCGCCCAGTCTGTCTGGAAGACAGGTCCAATCTCACTCATACAGAACTCCAACCAGGTCCCGGGTGAACCCTGACCCGACCTAGATCAGCTGTTCCCACCCAGACTGATGTTCCCTCTGAACCAGCAGGAACATTCTGGTTCTGATGGGTCAGTTCCTCTCAGGAATGTTGCTCCTGTTCTGGTGGTACTGTCTTAATGGAACCAGCCTTGGGAGCAGAAGGTTCTCTCTCTCCAACACCATGACATCACTAAGTGACTCTGACAGGTTCTGCTGGTACCCTCTATTTTAAACAGGTTGAAAGGACAACAACAGTCTGAAGATGTTCTGTTGGGTCATTCTGTCCACAGAACACTTTAACTTCTGTCCTGCAGCGGATCAGAAAAGAACCAACAGAACCAGGATGGAGGCAGAATCCTCCACCATCAGAAGCAGGTCTATGAGGTTCTGATCTCTGATCCAGAATGTGGACTGACGCGCGCGCACACCAACAGACACTCACATCAGCCTAAACCCAAGGTTCGGTTCCAGTTCTGCTGCCATGGTGTCTCACCTCAGCTGGGCGGGTCCGATGCGCGCTCCCTGCACCTGATGGACGCAGCAGAATAGATTCCAGAACGCTTCCTCCGGACCGGAACACACAACCCCGAACAGGATCAGCACCAGCAGCTCCACTACAGCCGAACCGAGTCTCTCTCCGCGGCTTCACGCGGACATGTTGCGATGACGCGGCGCGAGGAGCAGCTGAATGGAGAGAGCCGGCAGCCAATCAGAGAGCAGCTCCGTGCCGCGCGCAGTGACTCATATCTCGTTCCGAACCTGGAGACCATCTGCAAACACGCGCCCGCACCAACACACCCGCGCGCGCGCGTGTAGATCAGATGAAACCTACATGAATCTAATGAAAGGTTCGGCCTGGTGCTGAAGCAGCGGAACCAGAGGAGCTGAAGACTACCTGAGGAGCAACTGGACATCAAACAGGTCCAGATTCTGATTGATCCGAGCAGATCCAGGAGGTATGCAACAGATGAGAAGTTCTGGACAGAATCATCCGAGAGGTTCTAAACCTGAACGTCAGAAAGCTGCAGGAACATTTCTGGGCAGAACCACAGAATCAAGGGTCAGCACAAAAATGCATGGTCCAGGTTAACAGCCAGATGAGACCAGAACCGGCTGTGGTTCTACAGCAGGTTTGCAGCTCAATGATGGAGTAGTGACCCAACACAGAGATTAAAGATTAAATACAGATAAGAAGGATTAAATGTCTTCATT